CCCCAACCTGTGAATTCCAATAAAGTAACAATTATTGGTAATAATAATGGTAATTATTAATATTCAATTATTGATTATTTTCATTTTTATTAAAATTAACACAATATTTATTAATATCCACTCTTGTGATAAATATTTTATAGATTCTAAACAAATTGATTTAGCTATACCAAATGACCTACCTGAATAAGTTAAATCCTATTGCTTGTTATGTATTAAATTATTTATTATTTATTTTTATTTATCTGGCTACTGTAGTTTAAATATTTTTTTTTTTCATTTTGAAATTTGGGTGTCAAATATGTACATAAATAAAAAATAATGATTTTTGGCAAAAAAATAAATGTAATTTTTAATAATCATTGTTGTCATACATACATAACTGGAGTATTGTTTGTTTCTTATCTTTTCAAATCAATGGTTTCTTTTTTTATAGTATTAACAAATTGAAGTGATGTACTTATCAATATATCATATAATATATACAAAATTTAATACATGTATCTGAATAATTTAAATATAATAAAATTATACCTAAATTATCAAATAAAAAGCCCACATCTAATCTTGCTTGTTGAACCACTATTGCAGTCAACTTCTAGAAGAGGTTCCCCATCCTCCAGATTTGGTTGTCCCAAATGATTCTTTCCCCAAAAATACATAACAGACACAAATTACAGTATACTGATTGTGGGTTTTGTTGAATCAAACAATGCCAAACTTCTGGTCTTATTTGGAATCCTGACCTGGAATCTTAGATGCTTCCCCCAAATAGAAAGATATACTATGATACATTAAAAAATACCACCTTCAATAGATAGCTAGGTCCTGCTTGTGTTGGTACTAGCCACATTGATGTTTGAGAAAAGAAGAAATTTTCAAAATTAGAACCAGATACTGGCCACCAAACATGCAAACTATAAGAAATATTTATCAAAAACCACAACCTTGCCTTCGAATTTGTCTCCCTTTTTAAAAAGAAATAAGTGTGTAAGGCCCCTCTCAGATCTTCTACACCTTGATGATGACCAAAGACAAATGGGCTCACTTGCATGTAATGGCAACACACCCATTGCACATCTACATGCACTACCACAATATACCAGGATAAGTTGTGGAAGGACCCTGGGATGGTGAATATTATCTAACCAGAAATCAAATGTATCTTCATCTAGAAGTTTTCCCATTGCTTCATTATAATTGTTCTCTGCAATTATGTGTAATTCATCACAAATTTCCTTAAGCTTTTTATGAACCTTAATGTATCATCTAACCTATCAAGATTTAGATATCTTATAAATCTATTCAATTTATTGATCCTTTTTAATCTTTAACCATTCTATTATCTTTATATAATTGATGTTTTCCCTCTTTATACCATGTTTTGTTTACTAACATTATGTTTGTAATTTTTACTGGATCCTTGATTTGCTTTATAATTTTACCAATCAGTTCTGATGGTAATACAAACTCTGGTGTTTTCACCCCTACATACTTGATTTTTTCCCTGACCTCTACTATATAGATCACCAGCTTCAAATGGGTCCCTACTATCATTGAGGGATTTTAATGCATTGCCAATATAGCTGAAAATTTGAGTAATATATTCAAACATTTTTGGTTTATTTTTATATAGATTGCAGAAATGTTTAATTTGAAAATGTTATTAATTTATTAGTTTTATTGTTTTGGTATCAACCATACATGATGGTGAAAGTCATTTGATAAAATTCGAAACTTTCAAAAAAATCACATTTTCGAAATCGAAATACCCTTGGCGAAATTAAAATCAAAATCTAAAATTCAAAATCAAAATCAAAAATCAAAATCAAAATCAAAATAAATAGAAAATAAAATAATTTACCTCATTAAGAAATTCATCTGAAATATTCTGTGAACCATGTAGTTTTTTTAATGCCACAGGCATATCTTCATTATATCTTTCATTATTTTTATAATTTATAATTCTCTTACCATTTAACCAAGTGGCTTTGGATATAGTTGCAAACCCACCTTCACCTATCTTTTTGATATTTGTTAAATCATTATAAGGAATCCATTGAAGATAATCACTATAGTTATATGTAGTTGCTTTAAGTTGTAAACTTTTAATCAACTCATCTAATGTTTCATTGCCACTAGTCCATCCTTCAGTTAATAGCTTTGGATCACATGACTGACACCATGCCTTATAGGTATTATATCTATTGCATGTTTGACATTCTCCATATTTTTCATTTCTTCCCTTTGAATATTGATTTTCATAATCTTGAAGACTTCTATTTTCCATGTATTCCATTACAAAAATATATTCTTTTGTAGCTGGATCTTGTGTTAATCCATAAATTTTATTTATCATGAAAGTTCATATAATTTTTGAACTAAATAATAAATAAAATATTTAATTATAACAATAATAATCAATAATATTTAAAAATCAGAAAATAAATAGTGTGAGATTGTAAACCGTGGACCAACAAATTGGCCGTTAATATCGACCAATTAGAACGAACTTACTACGGAAGTCATGTGATGCGCTAAATATTACATCACGATTAACAATCATCTTTCTA